AATTGACCATATGCAAGGAATGCGGTTGATGTTGCCAATGATAAAAAAATAAAATTCCCTATTGGGAACATTCAATTATATTACGTTGTCTACATTAAAAATTTGAATTTCCCGCACGAACTAAATTAATTTCCATTTTTTTTAATAATAATAAATAATAATAAATCCCACATTTGAAATTCGCACCTTAATTTATTATACAACATTGGAACTACCTTCTTTATCTCTGGGAACTCCTAGAATGTATGTCAGTTTTTGCGGGAAATTCAAAATTTCAGTGTAGCCAACGTAATATAATTGAATGTTCCCAATAGGGAATTTTATTTTTTTACCATTGGCAACATCGACCGCATTCCTTGCATATGGTCAATTCATCCTGCGTCTATCCCCGGTACTCAAAAAACCGTATCTATAGATAATACGGTTTTTTGAGTACCGGGGATAGACGCAGGATGAATTGTTCTAGTAGAAAATGCCGTAAACCAAAAATCGCAAAATTGTTGGTTACGGCGTTTTCATTAAGCACGGCAGAATAGTAAATTATTATACGAGAGATAATGCAGGCTATTATTCAAGAGGGTGAGGTTTACATCTCGAGTCGCCAGACGAGAGACCCAAATTATCCGAGTGAATATTGCGCATAATCTCGAGTGTAATACTATACTTTAACTACTCCAATAAGTAGATAATTAAATGATTTTCAAAATTAAATAAATAAACATCTGTCAAATGGTTAACCTCACTATTTACCAATTTTAAATGTTATTATAGTCGCCTTTTCCCAATTTAAAACCCGTTCAAATCACAGTGAATATTGAAATCGGCCTATCACGTTGTTAGGCATGAATTTTATAATGAACATCCCACTAAGCAAAATACTGTTGGGCGAACGTTGCAGCGATGTTAACAGTAACGCTGTAACGTTAACTGGGGGGTAACATTAACGTCACTTAAACATTACAACAACGGTTAATGTCCGCCTCATGAACGTTTAAATGTTACATTGCAACGTCAACGTTGAAACAACGTTAAACCGTGCCGTACAGGTGCTATTAACTGATGCGTTGGCGTAACGTTAAAGTTAAACGTTAATTTACTGTTTTTAAATGAACGTTAATAAAACGTTGAAATTAATTGTTTTATTAACGCAGCTCTAAATGCCAATTCTTGGCGGGAAAGATAAACAAAGATATAGATTTAAAAAGAACTTGTTATATTTACTTCTTTCGACATTATTTGTAAAAAACTTCTTTTATAATTTTTTCAAAACCCGTTGATGGCCTTGACGAAACCACTCCATAGCAGATTCTTCCGGATAGCTAGTTTCAACACCACCTGCAAAAAAAAAGAAATTTAGCTTAAGCTGACAAAAACAATAATTTTAAATCCATGACTCTAAAATAATTGTTCTTGCGGACATATTGACATTTTTAATTTTAGTTTAGATTTGTTTATTTCTGTTAACTTAAATATTTCTGAATTAATACTTTAACAAAGCTATTGAGGCAAAAGGCGCCACGAGGTATACCTAACAGAAATAAACAAATCTAAATTAAAATTAAAAATGTCCATATGTCCGGTATATACCTCGTATATATACAAATATACAAGTTGTATAATACAAGTTGTATTATACAACTGAACAGCTGCCACCTGTCGCCCTCGACATCAGCGATTTTGACCAAACATTCCAAGTTTGGTCAAAATCGCTGATGTCGAGGGCAAAAGGTGGCAGCTGCCACCAACCTAGGTTTGGCGCATTTACATATATTTACGAGGTTGCTCCTGACAAACCTAACCTAGGATAGTAAATCTTTTTGAAAATAGTGCCTTTTTAGTCCAATAAAATTGTCCCGGATTTTCACTGTCAGGCGTTCGTAACCATTGACAGAAGTATAGATGCGTTTAATCGCAATCTTAATTTTGATAATAAACGTCGGACGCAGTGAAATAAAAATAATGCCAATATTGGTATAAAAACACCAACACGCCTGCATTAAGTTACATTACATTAAATGCTGGCTACATCCACCTTATTAAACAATTCAATTAAATTTAACTAAGTATAATATATATTTGCTTAAATATAATATATATTAGCTTAAATATATTAATATATATTAGCTTATATTATATATAGGACCTATATTATAGGTACACACCTGCTGTTGAATGACTTTGTTGTTGTTGCACTTGTTTTTGTCCTTGCCCTTGCCCATGCCTTTGTTGCTTTTGGATAAAAAATGTATGTTAATTTTGGCTTAAACTAACTCCTTCCTGGTAACGATAATAAGCTGAGATCTAAAACTAAACATAGCAATTTCAGACTTGATGCAAGTTAAAACAAAATAATAAGGTTAAACAGGTACCTATTTAATTGTTTTAAACTATTTTTTTATGAAAAAGTACCTAAACCCGTTAAAAATAAAGAATGAAATATTTAAAATCGCTGGAATATATGTAAATATAGGTATATGACTATAAATATCAAATTATATAAATTATAATTTGCAATCTCAATTAATTTGCTTTAACATAAATTGTAGTGTTAATATATTAACATTAATTATAATTATCTTTGAATGAACCTTATAAATAAAGAATATAATGATATATAATATAAAGATAATTATTAACACTACAATTTATGTTAAAGCAAATTAATTGAGATTGAGACGCCATCGCCATTTTGTTACTGCACGAGCCGGCAAACCACAGAGGCAAAGTGTTTACAATAGTTTTTAATATATACATATTTAGGCACTTACCTACCAAAATTTCCACATCTAGATTTGAAACGTAAAAACCAATAACACTGATTGAACTTCCCATTAATTATTTTAGTAAAAATTGCACTGCATCTATTAATAATAGACTATTATGCACGCTAACGATAGACTGCGCTTTGAGGTTATGTTCTGTCACAGAAATTCTGTGTTGTTATCTTAACGTAGTCATATGAAACGTTCACGTACTTATAACATTTAACGTTGCCTTAATGGCACAAGATTTAACGTTGTAATTAATTCGTTCTCCTAACGCAGCAATGGATAACATTGCTGTACCACTACACTATTAACAGTTACTCAACGTTTCCGAAAAAACGTTATATTATCAACGTTGACACAACACACTGGCAATGTGTTCGAAAACACCATTAATTTACTGAATTGTATGAACGTCAGTATAACAATACAAAGTAACGTTCATTTTGATACTCTCTGCTAACGTTGACCAACGTTATTTAAACGTTTCTTGCTTAGTGGGATTTAACATTGTTTATGGAAAAAAACCAAAATTACGCAATGGGAGTAGATAAAAGCATTTTTTTTGGAAGTCCTGCTCGAGAACTTCTAAAAAACTGCAACGCTGGCTGTAAGATATAAAAAGCCCATAAAAAAAGAAGCCTGTGAAAAGAAGGTTGCAGAACACCCAGTGTGATTGCATAATTATTATTATTATTATTTTTTTATTCATGTCACTAACATAAAGTCAGGTGTTTGCATTGTTGCCAAAATAATTAAAAATTATTTTGGTTTTAATTCCGCACAATTGTGGTTTCGACCAATTTTGTTGCGAAAATATATTCAACTATAAAAAGTACTAGATTTTGATAAAGCGTACTAACGTACTAAAAAATCAATTTTAGGACTAGATCTAGTACAAAAGTACTAAAAGTGGCAACACTGTGCCAACATGGCGGATTTCAGACTGCCAACTTAAAGTCACTAAACTGGTTACTTCCAATACCAACTGTTTATTTGGCGGTAAATTTGAAATAAACTCTTACAATTTATTGCATTAAAAATATTATAGGACAAATTAAATAATTTAAATGTTAAAGTGGAGAAATTTCTCCAATGGTATTTTTAATTCGTATTATACATTTCTCATATAATATTATTAATTCAAATTATTAATTTGGCCAATGTGATATTTTTTATTCAACAAATTAAAAATATAATATACCTAATATATATATATATATATATATATATAATATAATTAAAAATAATTTTTTAAAATTTGTAATGATATTTTTAATGCAATGAATTAATTAATTTTACTAGATATTTTTAAATAAGTTAGAGATATGGAAAATTGCAATTGCTAAAAATACTTGACAACTAAAGACACAATTCCACTTAAGTGGATAAAGGGTCTATCTATAGACATATAAGTGAAAAAAAATTGACAACTTTTTTTTTAAATCTTTTATCGTGCTTGATTAAGGAGTATTTTTCATAAAAAATAAGGTGTAATTTTTTTTCACTTAGACCCGGGTCGCGACCAGAAAACCGATGGACGTCCTGACCTTTTATAAAGGCCTTTATAAAGGGTGATATATCAACTTGTATCTTCAACTATTGTCGCAGGCAAAAAACCGATGGACGTACTCAGGATGTCCATCGGCCTAGGCCTTAGGACGTCCATAGGCCTAGGCCTCAGGACGTCCATCGGTTTTCTGGTCGCGACCGTCTGTAAAGGATTTAAACCGGATGTCCTCAGGACATCTTGTGCTATCTAATTAGAGCCAGTTTTACAATCGTTAGATTAAGTTAGCTTATTTGGCGGATAACTTTCATAGAAACCTTCTATCCAAGAAAATTATCCACCAGAGAGCTTATCTAACGATTGTAAAACCCAAAGATAAAGAAGGTAAAAACGACCTTTAAACATCTATGGTTTACCACCCAACTCGATGCGCCATCTGGTGGGTGTCTCATTAGAGACTCTCTAATAGAGAGGTCACTTTTCCTATTGAAATTGGGCGAAGTTGCAGGACCTGTATATAAGACCGTGTGCCAAACACATCTTGAAGGACAAAATTTAATGTATTTATTTAGGTATTCACTGTTTAATTTTTTCACATTGTTTATGTTACACATAGGGCTGCCAGCTTAAGCTCACATTTTACATTTTTACATATTTATTATTATATTTATTTCATAATACAAAATATTATTATTATTATTATTGGCTCTCTTTAAAACACCCGCCTAAGACTTCCCGCAGTTGGCAGCACTTGCAGCTGCGGAAGAAGAAGACAAAATGACAGTTAACCTGAAAATTTTATTTTTTTAAAGGTAACGTAAACAATAATAAAGCGATAAAACTGCATAAAACGTTGATTTTAGATGGATTTTGGTGGTAAAATTGGCGACGACCATTCACGAACGATAATACACGTAGACTTGGACTGTTTTTACGCGCAAGTGGAGATGTTGAAAAATCCAGATTTAAAAGACAAATCTTTCGGCATTCAGCAGAAGAATATCGTCGTAACAAGTAACTATAAGGCGCGAGATTACGGGATCAAGAAATGTATGTTAATTACAGAGGCTAAAAAACTGTGCCCAAACTTAATTCTTGTGAATGGAGAAGATTTACATGACTATAAACAAATGTCCCAAAAAGTTACAAGTGTTTTACAGAAGTTTACAAGCAACGTGGAACGTTTGGGTTTGGATGAAAATTACTTAGATATAACCAATTTAGTGAGAGATAAAAATAATGAAGATATAAATCCTATAGGACATATTTTCGGTGATACTAGTGAGCTGTGTGATTGTGGTTGTACTATTAGAATAAAATTAGGGTCTATAATAGCGCAGGATATTCGAAATGAGTTGTTTACAGAGTTGGGTTTAACTAGTTGTGCTGGGATTGCACATAATAAACTCCTAGCTAAAATCGTAGGCTCAACAAATAAACCTAACCAACAAACTATAACTTTTCCAGATAGTGCAGTTGAATTAATGTTGGGTCTACCTTCTGTGAGTAATATTACAGGTATAGGTCAAGTTTTATCACAACAATTAGCTAAATTGAACATAAAAACTGTTGAAGACTTACAGAACTCAGATTTGAATGTTCTTATTGGTACATTAGGGATAGAGAAGGGTAAAATGGTAAGGGATTTAAGTTTTGGTATCGATAATTCCCCTGTGAAACCTACAGGAAAGCCACAAAGCATAGGGATTGAAGATAGCTGTAAAACAATTACAGAGAAGGAAGTTTTGGAAAAACTAACAACATTACTGCAAAGATTATTAATTCTTGTTGAAGAAGATGGTAGAATACCAAAAACAATTAAATTAACAGTGAGAAAATATGATAAAAACACAAAATTCAGCAACAGAGAGACAAGGCAATGTAATATAAGCACTACTTTGTTTGACCCTAAGAAATTATCCATATTAAGTGAATCAAATGAGAAAAAATTACTATCTGTGATCATGAGATTATTTTCCAAAGTTGTGGATACCAGAAAATCCTACCACATAACCCTACTTGGTCTCTCTTTTACAAAATTCATTGAACAAATTAACAAAAACTCGCTCGCAATGTTTTTAGCGAAAAAAAGCGATCTGGAAGTCCAATCTATTACCAATCTAAAAAACACTCAAGATAAACCACCCAGCCCTAAATGTATTCCATCAACATCTACTGTAAATTCAGATTCTGAAGCTGAACATGAACCATTATCGAAAAAACACAAATTAGGCTTATTATCAAAAAAACGGCCACAATTTAGCGATTCAGACGACTGTGAATCACCTTCAAAACTCAGAGTGGCTGAATTAAAATTAAGTGGAGATTCTCAGAATATTTGTTGCCCTCCAAATGCAGACGAGCAGGTGTTTCAGGAATTGCCCAAAGATGTACAAAAAGAACTTTGGGAAGACTATAAACAAAGTAGGGATCAAGAAAGGAATTTATACAGCCAAGCTACAAAAAAATCAAAGCCAAACAGTATCTTAAACTATTTTGTGAAACAATGAGTTTTATTTTATATTTGTAAATAAATTATAAATACTAAGAGTGTCTTATTTACAATTAGAATTTTATTTTATAGTATTATATCAAGATACATACACGGTGTATGATACACCTTAAGATAGGATGGTGCGCATGTTGGGCGGGGCTTAAATACGTCACTTGATGAGTGTTTTTAAATCTTTAACGTGCTTTTTAATTATCTGCGCCTTAATTATCTTTACTATATTTTCGTTCATATTTTTTTCTATTTCATGATTTATTAGTCTTCGTAACTCTCCTTCCCCTGTTCTAACTGACTTGTATATTTTTCCTCTCAAAACATTTTAATTTTTTCTATTTGCTTGTCATAATCATTGTCTCTGCCGCATATGTAAGTACTGGTCTTATGGCTGCCTTGTTTATTTTTATATTTGTTTTTTTACTTATCTTTCATGTACTGTTCCAGTAGTTTTATACAAGGTATAAAAAATAGTTGTAGTAGTAGTAAATATCTTTATTGGAATAAACCAAAAGGCTAATGACCGAGGTCTTTCTGCCCATATAAATACATTTTTATATTAACAATCAATTTGGTAAAAAATTATTTGACATAATTAGGTACCTATATATAAAAAAAAAGAAACAATATTTAATGGACTTGAAAATCTAAGATAACTTTCCATAGGGTCAAAAATATTTATATTTTATATAAAATGAGTCGCCAAGGTTTATCAGACAAGGAACATGAATAACTTATTAACCTTAAGGTTAGTTAGTGAGGACGATCCTTTCATTTATAGGGCTGAGAGTCGAGATCAAAATTATAATCCTATATGTACCAGCATATATGACTGGTGGGATTATGGGACATTATCATGACAATTTGACAGATTTAAATTTTTTAGGGATGATTAATGACGTTAGTATTAATTAATATTATAAAAAAATTATTAAAATATTTATTGTGCAAAAGTCGTCTTGAAAGTGCATTACAATCCCTCGCTATTATTGCTATGTCATCCGCGTATGCAATTATTTATACGGATTTATGAATTATTAGCCCTTTTGTACCTGTCAACCTCATGACTCCTAGTTCTAAAATAAATAACGTTGCCGAAAGTGAATCACCTTGTCTTACCCCTTTATTATATTCAAACTCTTCTGATTCCCCTTCTTCTGTCAGTACCTTTGCTTTCAATCTTTCCTTAGTCATATGCACCAGGTTTTTTATTTTTCTCTGTATATTTAGCTTTTTAAAAGTTTTGCGACAGATGTTATCGAATGCACAATCCACACAACAAGGTCTGTTCTATATCATGCTAAAAATACTAAAAATCACTGCAACACTGCACAGAGTTTAACGGCGGCCATTTTTGTTGTTTACAATTCTTGTGCTTTGGGTTTGTGCTGTTTAATAATTGTTTTAAACGTTGTGTTTCTTACAGAGGCACTTAAGTAACCTCAAATAAGGCCTTTAAGTGTCAAGGACAACCATTTTACTCCTCTTTTATAATAAATATACCTTATTCTATCAGGGCTGTCAAATGACAATGAAGGTTAATTTGTGGGTTATAAATTAACCTTAAAATTGACATTTGACAGTTTTATGACAGCCCTGATAGAATAAAGTTTATTTTTTACAATAGAGGAGTAAAATGGTTGTTCTTAGCACTTTAAGGCCTCTTTTAAGGCTTACTATGAGAAACAACGTTTAAAACGATTATTAATCTGTATAAACAGAGCACAAACCCAAAGCACAAAAATTGTTAACAACAAAAATGGCCGCCGTTAAACTGTGCAGTATTGCAGTGATTTTTTGTATTTTTAGTACGAGATAGAACAGAACTTGTTGTGTGGATTGTGATCGAATGCTTGTTTGAAGTCTATATCAAGTCCAATTTTATGTTCGTGAGTTTTCTCTAGTATCTGCATCTCTGATCATGATATCATATCATTGATATGTATTGGGTCTACAGTTGATGTTCCTTTTATAAATCCGTATTGATAATCTCCTACTTCCTTTTTTACACACTTTTTGATTCTGTTGTTAATGATTGTTGTAAATACTTATATATGTCTTGCATCTCTTTTCTTAAATATAATATATAATAGTATATTAAAGTACAAGTTGCAGAAGGCCACATATTCTCGCACGAATTCGAAATTTGGCCTCGAGCGACGAAGGAGCGAGTGGACGAACGAATGAGTGCGAGAATAGCCTTCTGCAACGTGTGATTTATACTATTTTCTCGATTTTAACTTTTATTTAGGTTTTTTTAATTGTTTTGTGGACTAACTTCTAGCCGGTGCCCCAACATTGATCCCGACTGGACAAAGAATTTATTATATATTATACTATGCATCATTATCATTTAAAATTGGCGGCACAACAATAATATAATAATAAATTGTACCTGTATACATGTTAAGGGCACGTTAGTTACGTAATAAAACCAAACCAACCCAAACTCAACAACACAACCCAACCGACCCCGCCCCATTGGCCCCCCCCCGCCCCATTGAGCAAAAAACCCAACTAAAATGGGCAAATTTATGTTACGATAAAAATAAAACACTTTTTAACAAAGGAACAACAAATTTATGAAATAAAAAAGTTAAAAAAAAATTTGACAACTTCTGAGTATCGAACCCGGGACCTCTCGCATGCAAAGCAAACGCCCTACCATCTAAGCTATTTAGCTTGACAACAAATATTGTATGTTCGGGGAACAAAACCGGATTATTATTATGACGTCACGTTATAAGGCGGTTCGTGCCAGCTCGTGAGAAGTCGGGATCGATGTTGGGTCACCGACTAGAAGTTTCTGTTTTGTGGTCGTTGTTAGTTAGGGGATTTTTCTCGCAAAATGTCAGTTGGCAACACAAAATGACAATATTTGTTATCCTGCACAAGTACAACCTGAACTGCACTTTTACACATTAAACTTAAAATTTTGCATTAAAATGCATTGTTGGAGCAAACTTTATATTACAAAACAATAATAAAGGCTTCATTTTCAATAAAAGTAATGAATTTGAGGTTATTAATCAGTTTGACATTTTGGGGGTACCAATACTTAAAAACTAAATGTTACCAAAAATCGTTTAAGAATGAGCTTCATTCTTCAACGATTTTGCGTGCGAGAATATGACATTCTTACATAAAAATCGAGAAACTTTTTTCTGGCATTCGTTCTTCATTTCATTTAATCATTATTACCTACCAAATAGAGGTTATTAATCTATGAATATACGCCGCGTCTAGAGTCCCGTCAGACGGTTCTCTATTGCGCTCCCGTTAACAGAGTGACGTCATCAAATGACGCAATCTTAGGACGGGAAGCAGATCTTCCTTAACCAACGTCCCGAGTCCGCCCGCTTTAAAACCAACCCAAACCCAACAACCGTAGCTTATTGCATTTAATTCTGTGTTAGGTAACGCAGAATTAAATATGTCGGATTTAATTCTGCGTTAGCTAACACAGAATTAAATCCGCCATATTTAATTCTGCGTTAACTAATACAGAATTAAATCCGCCATATTTAATTCTGCGTTAGCTAACACAGAATTAAATCCGACATATTTAATTCTGCGTTACCTAACACAGAATTAAATGCAATTAATTCCGTGTTAGCTAACCCAGAATTAAATATGGTGGATTTAATTCTGTGTTAGCTAACGCAGAATTAAATATGGCGGATTTAATTCTGTGCATAGATTAGATAAAGTAGTGTTAGCTAACGCAGAATTAAATATGGCGGATTTAATTCTGTGTTAGCTAACGCAGAATTAAATAGTAAAAATGAATTTAGTGTAATTGTCCCTTCTACGCCTTCGTAGAAAGGTAAATAAATTAAAATATTAATGTAAAATTAAATATAAATGCTTTTAATGCCACATTGTATTATTTCGGTATATAAATTCTTTAAAAAAAATTAAAAAAGTTGTAGAGGCGCGAAGGATCGAACCCCGTACCTCCCGCAAGCAAAGCAGGCGCCCTTCCATTGAGCTACCGAGCTTATTGTAATAATTCTATCGCTTGAAAAATAATACCTATTTACAGTGTGTGACGTCACAAAGTTTTAACGGGAGCGCAATGGAGACCCGTCTGACGGGACTCTAGACATTATGATGAATATATTCACTCCATGATTTATTATCTATGATTCACTCGCTTGTCATTTTTTCCACCGGTTGCCGCCAAATATTTTGACAACTAACCTAACTTTCACCCAAACAATCAACTCGTATGTTTTCTTTGTGTTTTTCTTTGAAAATCATAAAAAATGGATATGAACGTCGTAATAAAACGACTTGAAGGTAAATTAAATCGAAAAACAAACCACAAACACATAACCAAATAATTAACATTTTAGAGGCTGGAATTTACGAACAGAGTCTGAAGAAAGACGAAATGATCGCGTACTATAACGCGATAAAAGATTCGGAGGACTCGGCTTTGGTGGAGAATAACATGAGAAGACATAATGAAAGTGCATGTAGCAGTGATGATGACTTCATGGACAGTTCCCCGCCGAAAGCTAAAGTGCCCCCATTTACTCCTAAACAATGGGTGTGCGATAAAACTGTGGAGTCCGATAGCTCCGATGTTTTGATTAAAGAAGTAAATAACAGTGGGAATATGAGTATAAGTGAATCTTCAGAGGAGCTTGTGAAAGTAAATATTGTTAAGATTGATATTGAGGATAAACGTACATTGTTGTTTGCTAAATTGGGGGAGGGTAATCTGTTGAAAGATAGTGAATTTAGTTCAAAAACTCTGGAGGAAAGAGCGGTACTTTTATTTGAGGATCATAACGAGCGTGTTAAAGAATTGGCTAGATTAGCTAGGGAGTCATTACATTTTGCACCCTTGCCGAAGATTATCACAGCTTCAAATTCAAGTTTAGATATCTTTGAGAGTAAAAATGACATTGAAAGCACTTACATAAGCAGATCAGGCAGGCAGACAAAAAGGAAAAATTACAGTTATAATGAAATTACCTATGAGGATTACATAAGTGAGACAGATGATGCAATACTTTCAACCAACAAAAAGACCAAGTTGACTGAAAGAATACCGAAAATAAGTAAAAAAACTTTAAGTGATACTCCAACTAGCACAACTAAAACTCCCTCGACTAGTGTTTTAGGGGTTTTAGATACAGAGACTCCAAAATCAGACTATAGGACCAAAAGAAGGCTAACAAATGAGGAAATTATAAAAAGAAGCCCTTTATTCGCAGATCCTGTAAAGTCTACAAGAAAAGATCTAATAATTGAAAAGGCAAGACAAGAGGATGAAAAAAAGAAAAAATCTGAAATGGAGTTCGATAGAGTTATGGCTAGTATTGATGATGAAGAATTTGAAAATAAGGTTATTACAATTGACGATAAATCACCTGTTAAAAGAAGGGTCATTCCTAAATGTCCTATACGGAAAAGGGGCATTGGACCAAAAAAGGGTAAGAAAAAAAATAACAATATTTATGATAATTTGTTAAAATAAAACGTAAAAATATTTTTTTGATTCACAGGCTTGTAAGGTAGAGCTTTATGGAGAAAATAGGGATAAAAATAAAACATTTATTGTTTTTTAGAGAATTACAATGTTTTGCTTCCCATTTATCAATATTTTAAGATTCATCCATACATTATGTAATCACGTATTTGCCGGTTTTGTACCTCTCTTCCCCTTATCATCAATTGTCACCCAGCAACCCCCTTCTTGTTGACATAATATTTTTTGTTTTTACCCATTTTCACATAGGTACCTAATTAGAATTTTTTTTCTTATAAAATCTAGCCCCCTGCATTCTGGAGAATTTCTAAATTAAATTACACTTATTTCTAGATACTATATACGATATTTCTGAGGAACCCTCAACTTCCTCGACCCCCTCTACTTCCGCGACGTCATCTACATCCGTGGAAAGGATAATTCCAATACAGATGGAGGATGCAAGTTCCAGTGTGCCAACTACGACTACCAATATTACCACAAGAAAAGTAAATAACCGAAAAAACACGAAAAAATCCTCCGAAGAAAGCGAAGCCAGTGAACTAATTAAAGTCGGTTGCCCTATTTGCGGTAAAGATTTTCCAAAGGATGTTATTATGGTAAGAAATCCAATATTGCAATATTTTGCAATGTTGTTAAATTAAAATTTTTTTTAAAATTCTTATAAAAATCATAAAAAATACTACAGGTTAGGTAGTAGAAAAATAAGTTAAAACAATCTTTTTTGACAAATTTGTATTATGGGTGATTCTACAAAAGTTGGGCAACTTTTGAGCTCATTTTGTTTATATAGTTTTTGGAGAAAATTAAACAGTATTTTGTTATGAGAACATAGATAATATAATAAATATACTGTTCTAGAAACAGTTTCTGAAATATCTGTGTTTTCTAAATTTGAATGCAAGGAAATTTCCTCTTAAGAGACAAGTATACTAGGGTACGAATTAAATACATAATTTATTGGAAAATATATGGTGGATTTTGGGTATACCGATATCTCAATTATTAGATATGGGACCCACACCAAATTTATATGAGTTTATAATGACATAAAATAAACAAGTTCTGCTCAAGCATAATTTAAATTGAAGTTTGCGAAAAAAAGATAACCGAAACATCGAACATGGAACTGACGACACGGTACTGATGAATGGGATACAAATTTGAAATTATAATTCGGAATTAAGTATTTTACTGATATTTTTTATTAGTGGATTATGGCGCGCCGTTTGATTTTTTATTCAGGAATTATTTATTTCTCCATTGAATTTTACATATCTCTAAAATATTTAAAAATATAAAATGAAAACTTTAATTTATTGCATTAAAAATATCATAGGACAAATTAATAAATCGAAATGTTAAAGTGATATTTTTAATTCGTTGAATAACAAATATCATAGGACAAATTTATAATTGGATTAACAATTGCATAAGAGAAATTTATAATTCGAATTAGAAAAATCATGGCAGAAATTTTTAAATGAATTAAAAATATCATAGGAGAAATGTATAATTCGAATTAAAAATATCATAGAAGATATTTTTAATAAGATTAATTATTTTTAATTCAATGTCAAATTTTTAATTCTTATTGAACTGGGTTGTAAAAAACGCACTATATGCGGTTTAGTTCATTAGAACTACTTGCAACTGTTAAGCCTCATTTATAGATTGTCATTTTTCCTTCCTTCCGTAAAAGATAATCAATACGAAAACCGTAGTGCTGTTTATAGATTTCCGTACCCTAATCTATTAACAGGGTTTCGTATTGTTCGTCTTTTACGGGAGGAAGGAAGGCTTTAAGGCAGATTTAAATATTGCCTTCCTTCCATGGTACCATGGAAGGAAGGCAATATTTAAATCTGCCTTAAAGCCTTCCTTCCTCCCGTAAAAGACGAACAATACGAAAGGAAGCATGCATGCATGCTTCCTTCCTTCCTCACGTAAAATATGAACAATACGAAAACTGCAGTACTATTTATAGATTCCGTACCCTAATTTATAAACATCACTACGGTTTTTGTATTGTTTAAATATTTTAGAGATATGTGAAATTCAATGGAGAAATAAATAATTCCTGAATAAAAAATCAAACGGCGCGCCATAGAAATGTATAATTCGAATTAAAAATATCATAGAAGATATATTTAATTCGAATTAAAAATATCATAGGAGAAATGTATTATTCAAATTAAAAATATTATAGGAGAAATTTGAAATGAATAAAAAATATCATAGCAGATATTTTTAATTCGAATTAAAAATATCATATGAGAAATTTATAATTCAAATTAAAAATATCAAATGAGATATTTTTAATTCGAATTAAAAATATCATAGGAGATATTTGTAATTCTATTTAAAAATATCATGGGAGAAATTTTGAAATGAATTAAAATTATCATAGGAGAAATTAATAATTCGAATTAAAAATATCATAGAAGATATTTTTAATAAAATGACAAATAAAACATATTTTTAATTCAATGTCAAATGTTTAATTCTCATTGAACTGGGTTGTAAAAAACGCACTATATGCGGTTTAGTTCATCAGAACTACTTGCAACTAAGCGTCATTTATAGATTGCCATTTTTCCTTTCTTCCGTAAAAAATCTATTAACAGGGTTTCGTATTGTTCGTCTTTTACGGGAGGAAGGAAGGCTTTAAGGCAGATTTAAATATTGCCTTCCTTCCATAGTACCATGCTTCCTTCCTTTCTCCCGTAAAATATGAACAATACGAAAACTGTAGTACTATTTATAGATTCCGTACCTACCCTAATTTATAAACATCACTACGGTTTTTGTATTGTTCATCTTTTACGGAAGGAAGGGAGGAAGGAAGGAAGGAAGGTAATATTTAAATCAGGCTTTAAGCTTCCGATATCAATGAGCGCAGTCCTGTAATAAATTTATTAATACCTGTTTCTTGTTATTAGCATTATTATTAATTATACATATTTTTTTAACCGGTAAATCAAATATATTAACCATCTTGTGAAAATTAACTACATTTAATTTTTGACAGATGAATAATTTTTTTCCGGCGTTTTTACAAACTGGTAAAGATATTTGAACTACCGGTTACACAAATATTTATAATTAAAATAAATGCACTAATAATGCTAATGTGTGATAATAATTATAATAATAAGATAGGTTAATAGGTATCTATGTACCGATTAATAAATTTATAGCAGGAGTTTGTTCATATTTGAAGCTCAACAGTTGCCAGTTAGCGGCACCTGTAGTTCGAATGCACTAACACCGCATATATGCTATATATAGCATATAGTTCAGTAAGAATGAAAATATGACATTACTTAAAAATATGCTTTATTTTATTAAGTAATCAAATAATTATTATCTTCTATGCTATTTTTAATTCGAATTATACATTTCTCCTATGATATTTTTAATTCATTTCAAAATTTCTCCCATGATATTTTTAAATAGAATTACAAATATCTCCTATGATATTTTTAATTCGAATTAAAAATATCTCATTTGATATTTTTAATTTGAATTATAAATTTCTCCTATGATATTTTTAATTCGAATTAAAAATATCTGCTATGATATTTTTTATTCATTTAAAAATTTCTCCTATGATATTTTTAATTTGAATAATACATTTCTCCTATGATATTTTTAAATCGAATTAAATATATCTTCCATGATATTTTTAATTCATTCAAAAATTTCTGCCATGATATTTAATTCGAATTATAAATTTCTCCTATGATATTTTTAATTCATTTAAAAATTTCTGCCATGATATTTCTAATTCGAATTATAAATTTCTCTTATGGAATTGTTAATCCAATTATAATTTTGTCCTATGATATTTGTTATTCAACGAATTAAAAATATCACTTTAACATTTCGATTTATTAATTTGTCCTATGATATTTTTAATGCAATAAATTAAAGTTTTCATTTGATATATTTAAATATTTTAGAGATATGTGAAATAAATAATTCCTGAATAAAAAATCAAACGGCGCGCCATAGCATCCACTATGGCGCGCCGTTTGATTTTTTATTCAGGAATTATTTATTTCTCCATTGAATTTCACATATCTCTAAATCAATTTCAGATATGTAAAATTAATTTCAGATATCTCTAAATCAATTTCAGATATGTGAAATTAATTTCAGATATGTGAAATTAATTTCAGATATCTTTAAATCAATTTCAGAAATCCCAAATTGAAGTTGCAAATGTGATATTTATTAAAGATACCAAGTCAGGAATTTAATTCATTGCATTAAAAATATCATAGAACAAATTAAAATATGCGGTAAATTTTAATGTTAAAGTGATATTTTTAATTCCTTGAATAAAAAATATCATGGTACAAATATAGAATTCGAATTAGCAACATCATAGGAGAAATTTATAATTTAAATTAAAAATATTATGGTAAAAATTCTTAAACAAATTAAAAATATCATAAGAGAAATTTTTAAATGAATTAAAAATATTATAGAAGATATATTTAATTCGAATTAAAAATATCATAGGAGAAATGTATTATTCAAATTAAAAATATCATAGGAGAAATTTTTAAATGAATAAAAAATATCATAGCAGATATTTTTAATTCGAATTAAAAATATCATAGCAGATATTTTTAATTCGAATTAAAAATATCATAGGAGAAATTTATAATTCAAATTAAAAATATCAAATGAGATATTTTTAATTCCAATTAAAAATATCATAGGAGATATTTGTAATTCTAGTTAAAAATATCATGGGAGAAATTTTGAAATGAATTAAAATTATCATAGGAGAAATTAATAATTCGAATTAAAAATATCATAGGAGAAATGTATAATTCGAATTAAAAATATCATAGAAGATAATAATTATTTGATTACTTTATATAATAAAGCATATTTTTAAGTAATGTCATATTTTTATTTTTACTGAATTCTTACTGAACTAAAAAAACGCACTATATGCGGTGTTAGTGCATTCGACCTACAGGTGCCGCTAACTGGCAACTGTTAAGCTTCAAATATTAACAAACTCCTGCTATAAATTTAATAATAGGTACATAGATACCTATTAACCTATCTTATTATTATAATTATTATCACACATTAGCATTATTAGTGCATTTATTTTAATTATAAATATTTTTGTAACCGGTAGTTCAAATATCTTTACGAGTTTGTAAAAACGCGGGAAAAAATTTATTCATCTGTCAAAAATTAAATGTAGTTAACGGTTACCAGATTCTGTCAAAAAAAGACCGTACGTTTCGTTCGAATTTACCTTAATTACAAAAATGACTCAATGGACAATATTAAATAACGTCAACTTGACATAATTGCATTTATTTGCATTGTTTCATTGTGTCATTTTGTAATTAAGGTGAATTCGAACGAAACGTACGGTCCTTTTTTGACAGAATCTGGTAACCGGTTAAAAAAATATGTATAATTAAGACAAATGCATTAATAAAGTTAATGTGTTATAATAACGCTAATAACAAGAAACAGGTACCATGGTACCATGGAAGGAAGGCAATATTTAAATCTGCCTTAAAGCCTTCCTTCCTCCCGTAAAAGACGAACAATATAT